ACACGCCATCCACGAACATCAAACTGCCCGACGCCTCGGTACCAGGGGACAGAGCACTCCACAGGCAGGCACCTCACACTCGCGAGAGCAGGCTTGTTCGCCACGCGGCATGGTTGACGCAGCACACCCAGAGCTGGGACCACACTTAGGTCGGGCATGTCATCCTACAGGCGGATTTTGAACGACAAATATAAGAAATAATCAAGCAATGCCCAAGAAAAGCTAAGAATGCGAAACAATCGTCCCCTCTACTATTTTGGGACTATTCTTGAATGTTCCTCGTGTGAAGGGACGTGCCCGACCTAACACAACACCCGCAAGAACAAGATGGCCTGCGCAACGGCACCGCGAGCGAAACATCTCCGCAAGCCGACGCACCCACCCGAAGGGACGGCAGAACTCTCGACGCGGCACGGCGGACGCGACACCCCGCGCGCCGACGCACCACTCGCAGCGCAAAGACTGCCGGCGCGACAGTCCAACGAGGCAACACAGCATCCGGGAGGACCGAGTGTTCGCCGCACAGCGCGGTTGACACGGGGGGCCAGGCTAGCTTGCGACGCGGCGCGTGGACGCGGCACCCCACATGCGAGCAGTCCATCTGCACGGATGTGCTCGTCCGCGGAGTGGCATGGCGGACGCAGCAGCCCATGGAGACCCGGCAGGACAGGCTCGTTCGCGGCACGGCACGGCGGACGCACCGCGCCTGCGCGCCAGCAGGCCGCCCGAGAGGACAGGCTTGCTCGCGACGCAGCACGGCAGGCGCAGCACTCCACGGGCAAGCGCACCATCCGAGAGGGAAGGCCTGCACGCAGCACCACGCGGTGGACGGCCCGCCAGCCGTTAGTGCAGGCTTGCCTGCCATAAGACGAAGCCAGGACGAGGTAAAAATCGGGCCAGCATAAATCGATAATCTCTGAGATCTGGCGGCTCTGGAGGATGCCTCGGGCGCCACGGTCTTTCCGGTGCGTTCCGGATCGCTCTGAAACCGCTCCGAAACGCTCTGGAACGGATCCTCGTCCTTGCCCCGTCCGAGCTTGACTGCCACGCGACTTTCGGCAGCACGCTGTGGCGCAGCACGACTTCGCCCTCCGGGACTGGGGCGTGCGGTGTGCGTCGAGCTGCGCGAGGAGGAAGAGGAGGAGGGGGAGGAGGAGGAGGAGGAGGAGGAGGAGGAGGAGGAGGAGGAGGAGGAGGAGGAGGAGGAGGAGGAGGGGAGGAGGAGGAGGAGGAGGAGGAGGGGGAGGAGGAGGAGGAGGAGGAGGAGGAGGAGGAGGAGGAGGACGACGACGAGGAGGAGAAGGAGGAGGAGGAAGAGGAGGAGCAGGAGGAGGAGGAGGACGACGAGGAGGAGAAGGAGGAGGAGGAGGAGCAGGAGGAGGAGGAGGAGCACGACTTCGCCCTCCGGGACTGGGGCGTGCGGCGTGCTTCGAGCTCTGCGCGCTGCCGCGAGCCGCACGGCCGAGGGGGGAGGGAGCTGCTGCCCCCCCTTCCCCTGCCTCCGCCTCCCCCTGCGCTTCCCGCTCTCCTCCGCGGCTGCCAGACGTTGGCCAAAGCTCCGAAGCGGTGGCTCAAAGACTGGGTCCCGAGGAAGGGGGTCCTCATGATACGAGGGGGCCCGAGGTTGGATCATTTCATTGCTTCTTTAGGCACCTCGTCCTCATCACCCCATGCATGAACCACCGACGAAATCCACGCAATCGTGGGCGTTTTCTCATTCGGCGCCTCGACATTGGGCAGCAGGGGGGGGGGAGGGGGAGGGGGCGGGTCCCGCCCCGCACCTCTGCGCCGTGCGACCGCCTGCGGCAGTGCGCCTCACGGGGGAGGCCCCGGCAGCCCGAAGCGGGCGCCGAGCACGGCCAAGATCTGCTCCCATGGGGGGGGGGGGGAGGCGGGGCGCTCGAAGGCTTGCGCCGATCGGCAAATTGGTGGGCAAGACAACGACTGCACCTCTCGCTCTGGACCAGGGCCAGCTCGACGGCCGCCTCCCGCCGCGCGGGCCGGGGGCGCCCAGGGAGAGCAAGAAAGCCGCGCGGCGCGGCGCGGCGCACGCAGACGCCCGAGAGACGCCCACGAGCCCCGCACGCGCCGCCCGAGGGAGCTGGACCTCTGTCCTCGCGACCACGGCGGCGGGCGCGGCACCCCACGGCTAGGCACGGCCACCGGGTCGGCACGGCCAGCGCTGGGAGGCAACGACTGGGAGGTCCTCGTCGGAGGGAGGATCGAGGAGAATCCAGCCCCACTGGGGGGTCACTGCGCTGCAGCTAGGCGGCAGATGGAACGGGATGACACCGCACTCCGCGGGACGGAGCCGGATGAGGCGGCGTGAAGCCGGAGTAGACTGGATTTCAGAGCAGGGCAAAAGCAGAATCTGATCTCCCAGGAGTTGCATCCGACGGCAATCGGGTCGGCACGGCCAACGCAAGCCTCCACGGGCTACCGCATCAACCCGCACGGCAAGCTACTGATCGAAGCACGGCGCGGTGCGTCTGCAAATTAGGAGGGGTCGGTTTTCGTGGCCTGGCACAGGGAAGGCAGCACTACGCTCGCAAGAGAGGAGGGATTGTAGCGCAGCGCTGATGCCCGTCAGGGTAGGCCTGGCATTTTATGTATCGGGTGGGACACCTGGACTCTCCCACCCTTGTAAGTCGGTGCTGGTGACAGTTGGGAAACCCTACCTTGCATGGAGTGGTACAACGCACCTCTTGCACCTGAACTGGTGGTTGGTATGCGTCCGCCGCATGCCTTGGCAGCCACTTCTGCCAACTCAAACTCGGGAAAGCCTGTTGGCAGAGGGGAGGGAGGGTGGAGGAGGAGGAGGAGGAGGAGGAGGAGGAGGAGGAGGAGGAGCAGCAGGAGGAGGAGAAAGAGGAGGAGAAAGAGGAGGAGGAGGAGGAGGAGGAGAAGCAGGAAGAAAGAGAAGAAGGAGAAGGAGGAGAAGCAGAAGTGGAAGGAGCGACCGAAGACCTCCGAGGGCCCTCGTGGCCTCGCCGCGGCCCGCCGGCGCCCCCGAGCGCCAACCCAGGAGATCGAAGCCCGAGCCGCGGCGGGTCGCGATGGTCGGTGCGCCCAGACGCCCAGCGGCGGCCGCTGGAGCAGGTCGCGACGTGCGCCCCCAGAGGCCCCGGCGGCGGCTCGAAGGCATCGGCACGGCAGCATGTCCACTCCTCGCCATCGCTCGGACGTCCATTCCCTGTGCTTTTTTCGGTTTCGTGCGTGGTTGTTTCGCCAAGTGATCAAGGATGCTCCTGGATGGTCCTCGCCGAAAGAAAAATGCACACGTCGAAGCGATGCTAAGACTCGGGGGTCCCAGAACGGTGCGGTGACGGACCCTGGCGGCGCGCACAACGGGGGCACAGAGGCGGAGGGGGGAGGGCTTCGTGGAAGGAGGCCGCTCCTCAGAAGGCGCCGGCCTCGCGTCTATCGGTGAGGACCGCGCCTTCGGAGAAGCAGGTGTGCTTCTATGAGAAGCCTTCGCCCCTCCCGCTAAATTCGCGCGGCTGAGGACCTCGCCGCGCGGCCCGGCACGGGCGCGGTGCGCGGGGCCCCGCAGGCCCCCGCTGCCCGGGACGCCCTCGAGAGGGGCCGCCCCGAGCCCCGGCGCCGTGCGGCGGGCCGAGCCCCCACGCCGCAGGCGCAGGCGGCGCGGCCACCCACGCCGCCCGAGGGCCGCCGAGCAGACCTCGGCGGCACGGCAGGTTTTTGTCCAGCCCCCTGACCCTCCTCCTCCTCCTCCTCCTCCTCCTCCTCCTCCTCCTCCTCCTCCTCCTCGCCTCCTGCTCCTCCTCTTCCGCCTCTTCCTCCTCCTCCTTCTCCTCCTCCTCCCCCTTCTCATCCACCCCCATCTCCCCTCCTCAATCTCCCCCTCATCCTCATCATCATCTTGCTCCCCTTCCTCATCTTCCTCCTGAGGCTGGACCCGAGCCCCGGGGCCGTAGGAATGACGGCTCCGGACGCGAATCGGGCCCCGCAGATCGCGCCGACGGGCCTCCGGGTCGCAGGCCGACGGCCCGGCTCGCGGCGGGGCCGAGCTGCGGCCGGCGGGGGCAGGGCACGCTGCGCGTCGCCTGCCGCGCCCAGACGGTCCCGCTCGCGGCGCGGTCGGGTTGGGGCCAGGAGCGGCAAGGAGCGGGACACGAAGGTGTGACTCGTGGGGGGGCGTGGTTGGCGATCCGCCTCTCCAATCTCTCTTGGCCCGCAGATGGGCAGAGGAAGGTCCTGAGCAGAACCGCCGAAGGGGCTGCCAGTCCATGGCGCCATCGAGACCTAGCATCTCCTGTGAGTGGTCAGGCAAAGACGACGGGGCGGTGCTGTGAAACCAAACACAGCGCGCACTTGCCGCAAACGTGCTTGACTGAACTCCACCTGCACAAACTGTTGCCTGGCATGAGACCTGCGCCACAGTGAGGTCAGCTGCAAAGCCGCTCCAAAGCATCGCCCCGGGTGTAAGGTGGAGGAGGAGAAGTGAAACGGGTGCCTCTCAGAGGCTCTGGGACCCTCTTGAAACCCTCTGAGGCCCATCTTGAAGCTGAATGGAAAGCAGGGGTCGGCACCCACTCAAAGGAGAGGGAGATACAGTTTTTCAAAGATTTCGGATTCCTGGGGGGGGGCTTTCCACGGAACCATCATGGGGCACCACGAGAGGATCTTCGGCAGAAGAAATTTAAGACATCAGATCAAATGTCTGGCCTCACGTGTGTTCTGCGCTTCTGCCAGCGCCGCCCCTTGTTGTACGGAAAATCGGAAAATCCTGGAGTCCTCTTGCGGCAGCTTGAGACACAACGCACGTCAGATCCACGTCGGAATTACTTCGGGCTCACGTCGGATTGCGTCGGATTTTCGTCGGATTCACGTCGGATGCACGTCGGACTTCTGTCGGAGCATTCACGTCGGACTCATGCCGATGCACCTATGACGGGGCGGACGTGCGGACAGGATGATACGACGAGTGCCCGCTGCGCGGGGCCTACAGGATTTTCCCCATAGCGCCCCCCCCAGTCCTGCTGCCGCCTGTCCTGCAGAATCTTCGCCAACCTCTGCTGGAACTCTTCGTTCAGGGCCGCGATTTCCCGGTCTTCCACATGCTGCCCACCTCCTCGACAGCACGGGCGGGACCGGCGGGGGTGCTCGTCGTTGTCGCCGTCCTCCTCCTCCTCCTCCTCCTCCTCCTCCTCCTCCTCCTCCTCCTCCTCCTCCTCCTCCTCCTCCTCTCAGGTCCTAGCCGGTCTGGCTCAGGTGTCTGTATCCTGACCTTGCAAGCACGTGCTTCAGAGCGGCTCGTGCTTGCGGGCCAATTTTGTATAAGAGCAGCCTGCTGCAGCGGCCCACCGCCAGAGGTCTTGCCAGGGCCACACTTCTCGCAGTGGAATTGCAACTGTGGCTGCGATGGCAACTTGGTGTCGCGCGAGGTCTGCCGGCAGAGTGGCAAGGCAACACCGCACATGATCGTCCACCCTGCCAAGTCTACGGCCAAAGCAGCGGCGGTGCCCAAGCAAGGTGCAGGGCGGGAGCCTCTTGGCAAGTGGGTGCAAGGAGTCCGTGCTCAAGACCATCAAGGCTCTGGAGGCCAAGGTTGCAAAACTCACGGTCTCCGACGCGCCTACGATGGGAGCTCGAGCACTGGTGGCAAACCACCGTGGTGCGACAAAAGGAGTGGCGGCAAGTCGACCGTGGCGGCCGCTGCGCCAGCGTACAAGGACGTGCTGGGCTTCCTCAAGCTCCAGTGGGTCGACTCGTCGGCCATCGCGGCAGTTGAAGAGGCAGAGAAGAAGGCTTCGGTGGTCGAAGTCAGGGCTCCCAACGCGCGCACGGCGAGGTGAAGGTGGAGAGCATCCGCACCAAGCTTGTCAAGATAGAGTCGCGTGCTGCAGCGTTGGGGCTGCACAAAATGGAGCTGGAGTTTGAGCTCGCTGAGGTCCAGTCCAACATGGCGGCGTCCAAGGTGGAGTTGGGCAAGGCCGAGGAGCTGCTCGTCAAGCTCCAGGCCTCAGAGCTCGGCGATCCACTCAAGGCCGTCTCGGCCGGCCACGACGTGGCGGTCGTCGAGTCTCAGGCGGGCCAGGCTGCAACCGCGGCCCTTCCAGAGCTTCAGCAAGAAGGCGACCAAGCCTGCTCCCCCTGCTGCTGCTGCCGCTCCTCCTGCTGACGGGGGTGGCTCAGCTGCTGGAGGGACCGACACCCCCGTCGACAACGGTCTCAACGTCCCCGTCGACAGCGACGACATCGACGTGGACGTGCTGCAGGGTGACGGCCTGGTGCAGCGCCAGGCCGACTTCGTCAAGGCGCTCGACGAGATGTGGGAGGCCCCGCCAGCCGAGCAGGATAATGCCAAACGCTCCTACGCCCAGGCTGCGGTGGCCTTGGGAGTCAAGCGTGCGCTGCATGTTCAACCTGGGCGAGGTAGGCGTGACCAACACCTCGCATTTCTGGAAGGACAATAGCATCGACCTGGAGTGGCCTGCTCTGCGCTTCGCTGCTCCAGTTGTGGGACCTGAGCGGTGCTTCTCTTCTTCGATGAACCGTCCGCACCTGACAAGCCATCCCAAGGAAGCAGTTCCCCTCGTTCGCCGTGGCGTTGTTTCTGACAGTCGAATGGGTGGGTCTACTTCCAACGTGTTGGAGTTATTTCCAGCGGCTCGTTCTGGCGTTCACGCCGACAGTCAAGTGGGTGATGTTCTAATTCGGGTGGGAGTACTTCCAGCGTGGGTGGCCATATCCCCAGTGGAATGCCAGGTGTTGGTGATGCTTGTCCTGTTCGTCCTGGCGGTGGGTGCGCTGGCAGTCCAGTGGGAGCTACGGTCGGCATCGAGGCAGACAGCCGCAGTGAAGATTCGTTTCTTCTAAGTTCTGCGCAAGCAAGCTCTGCCCCAGGTTTTTCAAAAAGGGCCGGGCAGTCGGCACCGACCTCATCCGTTAGGGGAGGAACGCACTGGTCACCCAGTCTCGGCTCGAATGGGGTGCCCAGCAGCTCCCAGGCAGTGCATGATCCAGCTCGTGAAGCTGGTGATGCTCATGCTGGTGCTCATGCGGCTGACAGGTCAGCGTCTTGTTGTCCATCCTCCCCACCCAGGGCAGGGCCAGGTGAGACAAACGCAGGTCAAGATCCCCCACTCCAAGTCGCTGGGGCTGCAGAGTTTGTGAAGCTCGTAGCTGTGCCCGTCGTCAAGCTAAGGGATGTGATGCCGACGAAGCGCGTCGGCAACCACAGTCAGTGCGAGCCAGCTCATTTATCCTGTCAGGTCTTAACGTCAATGTGTGGGGCACGTTCGAGTCGGTGAATGATTGGATGGCAGATGAAGGTAACGCTGGTGGTGCCAACCCTCTCTCTCATGTATGCTGTGTGCAGGAAACCCGCGTCAAGAGCGACGCCAAGCAGATCTCGGCCATGGGCTGGGAAAATCGGCATGGCTATCATATCTCTCTTCGGCGCGCCCATAGCACGGGTGCCAATGCAAGCCAATGTAGTTCACGCGTTGCAGTCGCTGTGCGCACGTGTTTGGGCTCGACGCCCACCACCACAACAACAACAACAACAACAACAACAACACCACCACCACCACCACCACCACCAACAACAACAACAACAACAATTACTAGCACGTGGGGACACTCCGTTCTCACCAGTGCCAGGGTTTTCATAGGAGGCGGGCAATACCCCCACTTTGTGGGGGGGCCGGTTCAAGCTCTACCAAATTTCCAAACGACTCTTCGCCACCACCCACACCCAGCTTCCCGCCCTATGACGTTCGGACACTTCACTTCGTGGCATGCGGACGACCGTGGCTACTATTCAGGGCCCCGCGGCCGACGACGACGGCGTGCGCGCGCGAAGAAAAAACGAATGTGTCCCGCATGGTATTATTTGACAGGGATGATGGCCCTGGCAGGTGCGCAACCGTTGTTGCAGAAGTTCGAAAAAGTTGCTCGCAAAAGCCCGTTTGACAGAAATGTTTAAAAAGTGTTGGGTTTCCTACGAATCCGCAAGAGCGCGCGGGATGAAATTTTGACATTTTTTTGAAAAACCATTGGTTTTTTGATGTTTTTATGTTAAAATCGCTACGAAAACTAAGGTTTTGGAAGGATTTCGTCTTGCGCGCGCGAATGTCCACTTTACCTTATTTTTTGCAAGGGATTCTTGAAGTTTGGTTATGTTAGAACAAGAAATGTCCACTTTAACTTATTTTTTGCAAGGGAAAACCGATCGTAACAACACAACCGGATCCGGACCAACCCGTTTTGCCTGAGACTTCCTCACGAAAATGATGAAAATGAGGCTGCGGCCTAGGCGCGGCGGGGGGGTCGTGCACCAGGGGTCCCAACAATAATTATTCTTTAGAAGTAATAATGTTCAACAACAACAACAACAACAACAACAACAACAACAACAACAACAACAACAACAACAACAACAATATCAACAACTTCGGTTTTCGAGTTGTGGCCATGATTGTGAATGCAGAGTTGTGGCCAGGATTATGAATGCAGGCTTCTCCACGGGGATCGTCGTGATGCGCGTCTACGTTGCCACAAGTCAGGAGCTCTCTGGGCCTGAGAAGGTCGTCCTCGAAGCCCTGGGCAGTCAACCTCTGGGGCAGGATCGGCCGCGGGTCCTCCAATGGGACTTCAACATCCAGCATGGCACGCTCATGGGACCCGGGTGGCTCCAGAAGGTTCGAGGTGTGTGCGTGGCCCCTGGTTACCCTGCCTGCAAGGTCGCGGTCCCCAAGAAGACCCAGCACGTCCCCCAAGAAGCTCACCCAGGGGGTCTCGACAACTGGGTGGTCTTGGATGGAGAATCTGAGGAGGTGAACCCAGAGTTTGCAGATGGCAGTGGCATCATCGACTTCTTTGTAGTTCGGAGATGCTCACCTCGCATCTGGAGACGATCCAGGTCTCGGACCAGACGCCTCTTTACCCTCACGCTCTTGTTCATTTTGAGCTCAAGGATTTCAGCCAGGTCGCGACGATCAAGCAGCAGGTCAGGTTACGAGCTTTTCCTATACAGCTCATAGGCCCTCACCAGGCTCCAGTGACTCACCTTTGGTCGTGGACACCTGGAGCTCCGTCAAACCTGGAAGGCACGATGAAGGAGTGGTTCAGCTTTGCGAGGCATAGGCTGCTACAAATCCCTGGGATAGTTGAGTTTACTTCCAGGGCCTACGTTGGGAGATCAAGAGGACCGACCTCGGAACGCGTTTCCTTGGGTACTGTCTGGGATAGGGATCAGAGGAGGAGGTTTGCAAGGGCGACTACCGCTCGGATCTCTTGCACCTCCCTGCACAAGCGGGCCTGTCAGTCTCGCGTCGGGAAAACGGAACCAATGGTGTCGTGACCTAGAGGCGATGGTGTCGGACATGGCCCTATCCATCAGTTGCCCAGGACTCGCCGTTCACCATCGTCTGCTTGCCCGACGTTGTCGAGGTGATGGCTTGGGGGACCAGCCACTTCACAGTGTCCCGTCCTTGCTGGAGCAGACGGGCAGGAGAAGGCGAGGGTACAGTACCCCTGCAGGGGTGGGGGACCCACGCGGCTGAAAGCGTTGAAGGGGAAGGCAAGGCGGCTCGCAAGCACGCCGAGAAGAAGGCATTCAAATCTTTCTGCCCCCTCAGCCCCGGCCTGCCGCGCGTGGGGGCGGGGGCCCTGGCGGCGCTTCCCGACGCACGGCTTCCCCCTCTGGCATGCAGAAGGTAGGAGCGACCAGCACCCCTCGACGCGGCAGGTGCCAGGTGCCAGATGCTGTTAGGCGTGGCGCTCAGCTAGCCAAGCGTTCGACGACCAAACGCCCTGCAGCATTGCTTACGCTTGAAATCGCGAATGCAAAACACAACCACGGTGCAAACGCAAGATTGTGAGCATGATGGCATGCGTGCCCACGAGATGCATCATGCCCAATGGTAAGAACATGCTGGGTGAAGTACCATCAATGCCGCTGGTCTGAGCACGAGTGAGGGGGTCCTCACCTTCGGTGAGGACCCCCTCACTCCCACCACGGTTGAGCAGCTTCTGAACGCGCATCGGAAGCATCGTCGTGGGGCCGGCTTGGGGTGGGACAGCTTTCACCCGAGATGAGCCCTGGGCTTGGCTCCCGAGCATCAG